TATGCTCATTAAAGATTTCCCAAGAGTGTAAAACGAGAACCTACAGACTGGGAAAAATCTAATCTCTAAAATATAATGGAAAAGTTCAACAGCTCAACAACCAAAAGACAAACAATCCAATAAAAAAAATGGGCAAAGAACATGAGCAGACACTTCACCAAAGATGCTATTGAGGAGGCCAACAAATACATGAGAAGATGCTTGCAAACATTAGCCATTAGAGAGATGTAAATGAAAACTACAATGAGATATCATCCCTCACCTGCAGAAAACAACAAATGCTGGCGAGGTTATGGGGGGATTGGAACTCTTATATATTGCTGGTTGGATTTTAAAATGGTACAACCATTATGGAAAACAGTACGGCACTTTCCAAAAATCTAGAAATAGAAATATCTTATGGTCCAGCAATCACACTCTTAAGTATATATCCTAGAGATATAAGAGCAGTGACACGAATAGACATATGAACACCTATGTTCATTTCAGCATCATTCACAACAGCAAAAATATGGAAACAACCTAAGTGCCCATCAATGAATGAATGGATAAACAAATTGTGGTACATACATACAATGGAATACTACACAACTATAAAGAATAATGAGGAGTTCATGAAACATCTTCTAATATGGATGAATTTAGATGACATCGTGTTGAGTGAAATAAGCCAATCACAAAAAGACAAATATTGTATGGTCCCACTATTATAAAAAAAGTCAAGAATAGATATACACACGCAAAGCAAAGTTCGTTGATGGTTACCAGGGATGAGAAGGAGAGGGAGGGGAATCACTTTTTAGATAGTAGACACTTGTTACTTTTGGTATAGGAAAGGCAATCCCAAATACGGGTGAAGTCAGCACAACTTGACCAAGGTAAATAAAGACACTAAGAAGTACATGAGAAAAAGGGACAATTTCAGTAAATGCTATAATATATCCAATTTTTCAACAATAGTTAAAATAATAAAAAATATGAGTGTGGTTACATAAGTAGATATGGATGCATACATGTGTACAGGAAGGCATATGCGAGTAAATGCATGTGCATGTATAGGTGTATCTGTAAGCAAAGTATACACACGTTTGTGTGTGCTGCATATATATTCACATATATAACAAACCACATACGGGCCGCAGTTATGGAAGCTTCCTAGACATATCCAAACAACTCACAGAATTGGTTTACTGGGTCAAAGGGTTTGGGACCATAGTCTCAGGGGACAACTTAGTCAATTGGCATAACAGTTCACAAAGATAATGTTCTACATCCTATTTTGGTGCATATTGTCTGGGGTGTTAAAAGCTTGTGAGCAACCATCTAAGCACAACTATTTGTCTCTTCTCATATGGAGCAAAGGAGAATGAAGGAAATCAAAAGCTCAAAGAAGTAATTAGTCTACGGGACTAATAGTCCACACAAACCACAACATTTTCTATTCTGAGACCAGAGGAGCTGGATGGTGCCCAGATACCACTACCCACCATTCCAACCAAGGACACAATAGAAGGTCCCAGATAGAATGGGAGAAAACTGTAGAACAAAACTAAAATTCCTAAAAAAGGCCAGATCTGCTGAATGGATAGAGACTAGAGGAACCCCGAGACTGTCACCCTGAGATTCTCTTTGAACTTAGAATTGAAGCTATTTCTGCAGGTCACCTTTCAGTCAAATAATAGACTAGCTTATAAAATAAACAATATCACCTGTGAGTAATGTTTTCCCTTAAACAATGAACTATGAAACCAAATGTTCAGCCCGTTAAACCCATTGCATTGAGTCAATTCCAACTCATAGCAACATAGGACAGAGTAAAACTGCCCTATAGATTTTCCAAGGAGCGAATGGTTGACTCAAATTGCTGAACTTTTGGTTAGCAGCCGAGCTTTAACCACTGCGCCACCAGGGCTCCAAATGGTCAACAGTTACCCAAAAGCAAAGATGAGAAGGCAAGGAGGGAAAGGGAAGCTGGATCAATGGAAACAAAACAAACAGAATGGAAATAATGAGAATGCTCACACATTTGTAAAAATTGTGACCAATGTCATGGAACAATTTGTTTAAAAATTGTTAAAGGGTATCCTAATTTTCTGTGTAGACTTTCACCTAAAACACAATAAAATATTATTTAAAAAATTGTGGATGAAAGGATGGTTTAATTTCTAGAACTTGCTTGCTTTTCCTCTTTTCCCAAGTGAGTAGGAAAAACAAAGCATATTTCTTTTTCTTTTCATTTGTTTGTTTACTTTCTGAGGTGCCTAGTCTTCACTTAGGCTATAACTTTAAAAATAAATCCAATAATACAGAATATATTTTTTACATTAAACTAATATCAGATCCGCCCCCCACCCCAAATATTTCAAAATCATCAATTTCTTTCAACATTTTCAAATAGACCATATATACTCATTATCATTCTTATTTCTCTGTGCAGCCCTCTGGAAATATTGCAGGCCTACAGGAGTACATGATAACTACACTCTACCAGACTACCATCAATAATGCTTTTCCATATTTGGTTGTGTTTCTTTAAATAGGCTTTCAGTTTAGAGGAGCACATATAGTTCAAATTGGAAAACTCTTACCAAGAAAGCATTCAACAGAATTTGTATAATAGTCAATGGAATTAGTTCTTTACTTTTCAAACTTCACATAGACTAAACATCTAAACATTTGGTAAAAGTCAATTCATTTTCTTTTATATGAATCCTATCCATTATTCAAAATCCACCTTAATCCCACCTCCTAGTGGAAGAAGACAGTCCCTGGATAGTACAAATGGTTAAGCGTACTTGACTACTAGCTGAAAGATCGGCAGTTCGAGCCCACTCAGAGGCACCTCTAAAGTCAGGCCTGGTTATCTAATTCTGAAAGATCACAGCCTTGAAAACCCTATGGAACAGTTCTACTCTGTGCACATGGGGTCACCATGAGTTGGAATTGACTCCATGGCAACTACCAACAATAAAGTGGAAGAAGGGATCCTAATATGCCACCGTTTGGCACTTAGCGTATACAACCCATTTTCTAACATGATAGAAAGCTATAGACACTGTTTTCAAGGTCTTCTCTCCCTCAGGTTCAATCTCAAAGCCTGTGATTTTATCTCCAAAATATTTACCCAATGTCTTTTTCACAGATTGAAAAGTTTCTTTTAAACTTGTTAGTATTGATTTAGTATAGCATTTCTCTAGAAATTAAAAAAAAAAATCATGATGGCACCACAAGTACTTGACCTTAAGAAGATTATGTGGTGAGGGCAAAATAGTACTGAAAGCTAGTTCTACAGTCATGTTACCAAAAGGAAAAATTAAGAATTATCCCTATGGACCTCCTAGAAGCTCAATTTCCCTAATCCAATTAAAATCAAATGATTTCAAATTTGCAATATATAAGCACCATATATGTTTGCAATGTTATGATTGTATCAAAACTCTCAATATATTTTTAAATTATTGTCAATAGAAATTGTTTAAAGCAATTGTTTAATTTTAACAACCAGGAAAATAGCAATTATTCTAGTCTTCACATAATGATATTCTTTAACAGCATCTCCAGGTGCAGTTAAATATTAGAGTAAATTTGAATCAAATATTTAAGTGTTCACTGGGATATTAGAACATCCAGAAATATTTTTTAAATTTGTTTTTTACTTTCTCATGCCAATTTTAATGTCCTTAATATTGTCCGCTTGAATGTAATTTCAGGTTAATAATGTTTAAAAAGCAATTTCCACAAAATATATATAGTTCCATGTATGTGCATTATAGATACATGCTATAACAGTAAACACATTATAAACAAACAAACAAACAAACAAACAAACAAAGAAATCCATTGCCGTCAAGTTGATTCCAACTCATAACAACCCTATAGGACAGAGTAGAAAACTGCCCCGTAGGGTTTCCAAGGAATAGCTCATGGATTTGAGCCACCAACGTTTTGGTTAGCAGCCTGAACTCTTAACCACTGCACCATCAGGGCTCCTACTTAGAAATGGATTGTTTACAACTGATCAGCTATTTACAGTTGATTATGCTTATCAAGTATTCAGAGTCAAATCTGAGGTTCAGTACTAGCAAATTAATAAGATATTACATCATATAATTTATATACTAACTTGCATAAGTGTGCCTACATTTATCTTTAGGTTTGTATTTTTGTCACTTCAAATCTATTTAGGAAATTAATGAGGTGTATGTCAAATAATCAAGTAAATTATGGGAAAAGATAGTGACTCTAATTTTCTATGTAAATTTCAGTAAGTCTCTTAACGTCCAGTATCATTTCTTCTGTTCTACTAGTGGAAAAAGAACTGTCTTATATTAAAATACATTCAAAAATATATGTATTAAAAATATATATATTCAAATATATTCAAATGTTTGGTTGATTGCAGTCCCAGAAAAAAACATTTTTCTTAACTAAAAAAAAAAAAAAAAAGAATCACCCCTTGATTCTAGTACAAGCTAAACATAGAACACTAGGTTGGATGTGACCTTAGAAATTATACACTCCAATCTTTCATTTCATAGTTAAGTAAACTTAGCCCCAGAGACTTAACAAGAGCATATAGTTAGTGAAAGAGTCAGGAAGAAACCTAGGTTTCCTGATTATTAGTCCATACACTTCCCACTACACCATGCAGCTTTCACAAATGCTCTATACTAATTATACTACAAAGTGAGTAGGTACATGGGGCTCTTTAAACTCTGGTAGGAGTCCCTGGGTGGTGCAAATGGTTAACGCTCAGCTGCTAACTGAAAGGTTGGTGTTTTGAATCCACCCAGAGGCAATCTACTTCTGAAAAATCATCTATTGACAACCCTATGGGGCACAGTTCTACTCTTGACACACATGGGGTCACCATTAGTCAGAGTCAACTTGATGGCAACTGGTTTTTTTTCTTTTTTTGAATTCTGGTGACCTGTATGGATGAGTCACTAGAGACTACAGTTGTGTTTGTGCTCCCAGGCCCCTTCTCCATGGAAACTCACCTTCAGTATTGGAAATGGGGGTACTGTCACATTTGCTTTCACACTGCTGCATCGATGGAGGCCGAACAGTTTCTGGACAGTCACTAGATGCCTGTCCTGTGTAGGAGAGACATTGCACAGTCCGCATTTGCTGTCCAAGGCCGCATTGAGCAGAGCACTAAATCCAAAGATACAGGAAGAAAGGAAACATTCATCTCAACAATTTGCAGGAGGTAAAAAAGACACTACACACATTACCTTTTAAAGCTCATATGTCATTCATCTTTGAGAGGCATATGATTAGGTCATTCTACTATATAATTAGTTTGGAAACTCAAGGATTATCTTATTACCCTAGAAAATGGAAGCAATATACCTCCCAGAAGACAACACAGGGGGATTTCTCGGGACATCACTCCAATAATTCCAAGCAGGGATGGTGAATTCTAATAGGAGTGTAATGAGAAAATCCTCATGATGAAGTGGAATAATCAGATTCTAGGGCTGGAAGATCACTGTTGCTCCCTATCTATTACAGGCTTGTGGGCAAATAACCTGATGGCTTATTGGAGTGCTCTGTACCTTATAAAAATATTAGTTCAGTATAATAGCAGTGACTGCTTTGGGGCCTGGTGATGGGGCCAGTTTAAAAAAAAAGTAAGTGCCTCAATTTTTCTAAGGTATTGTCAGTCACCAGAGAAGTGGGTCTGGTGTTAGCCAATTAGCATGTCTCCTCCTTTTTCTACTCAGGCATTCTGACCTGAAGTTACCCTCTGCGTGGCTGATCTGCTGTCCAGGCTGAAGAGTGGAGCTGGGTCTATTCTCACAGAAAGCCTGTGAGATTTGGGATCAAAGGGATGAGAAGCTAACAGGTGCCAAGACAGGGGATGATGATGTTTACAAGGTAAACTGACTGAAGCCCCACTGGATTTGCTTGCAAAAACTCTCAAAGCACTTACAGGAGTTGCAAGGATGTTCATAAAGACGCTGTGATGGTTAATTTTATGTGTCAACTTGGCTAGGTTATGGTGCTCAGTCGTTTGGCCAAACACTAGCTGAGATGTTATAAATGAAGTAATTACACGTTTTTAAATCAGTTGGCCTTAAGTAAAGCAGATTATCCTCCATAATGTGGGTGGACCTCATCTAATCAGTTGAAGGCCTTAGGAGCAAAAAGAGTTTTTACTAGGCAGTATTCTGCCTCCAGACTGTAAATAGACATTTTGCCAGAACTTGTTCATTCATTTCTTCCCATCATTTGACCTATGGATTTTGGGACACAAAATTGTAGTAATCTCGTCCTGGTCACCTGACCTACAGATCTTGGAACACAAGAGTTCGGGCATCTCCAGCCTATCACCTGACCTATGGATTTTAGGACACAAGACTTACAGAATCTCCAGCCTGTCACCTGGCCTACAGATTTTGGACTTGCCAGCCCCCAACAATCGCATGAGCCAATTCCTTAAAATAAACCTTTGTCTCTTTCTTGATAGGTAGGTAGGTAGACAGATAGCTAGGTAGCTAGCTAGCTAGCTAGGTGGCTAGACATATTACAGATATATCTTATTAGTTCTTTTTCTATAGAGAACTCTAAGACAGACACTATTTTATTTTTAAGTTTCTAATACAGAATGGCAAATAAATGTACCAAAAAATTTATTAAAGCATCTTTGGAAATGTAATTTCACTGGATATTCTGAGTTTTAGGAAACTAGATTGAAAATGTAGGTGGGAAGAAAAAGACCTGACGACATTTAAAAGAAAAATATCAAATCGACAGGTGTAAATTTGGTGAAATCACTAAGTTTTGGTGAAAACTTTCAGCCGGCCTTTATAAAACAGTGCATTGAAACAAGAAATATATAAGGAAAGAAATGCCTACCTGGTGTAAAATAAAAAATATTCTGTACTGATTCTTCAATAGCATAATATCAATTATGTATTAGGAAAACTGTCACTCTTCTACAGTAAAACACATTTTGACACTAATTGCATATAATGCTTTCATGTGTATTCAACTTGAGCACGTTGTAAACTAAATTAACACTCAAATACAAATGCAAAGCATTAATTATTTTATGATCATATGTCTTTTGTCTCCCCACAGGGCTGAGCACAGAGTTGGTGCATTGTTTGTCTAAATGAGTACTGAAAATTGTTGCACTCTGCCAAATGCAATAAATCAACAAAAGAACCCAAATGCATTGCCATCGAGTCGATCGCAACTTATAGTGACCGTATAGGATGGAGGAGAACTGCCCCATAGGGTTTCCTGGGCTGTAAATCTTTACAGAAGCAGACTGCCACATCTTTCTCCTACAGAGCAGATGGTGGGTTTCAACCATCAACCTTTTGGTTAGTAGCTGAGCGCTTAACTACTGTGCCACTAGGCCTCCTCTAAATGAAATACAAGAGTTGTGTAAATACTGCCATACTCTAGCAATATTGAATTTTGATCAGAACTTAGGTAACTATTTCTATGAAATGCTACTTTTAATAAGTAATGGCAGGCCTAGATTACAAAATAACAATATCATACTGAATTACTATATGCCATTATGATTTATTTGAGTCTCAGATATTAGAAAATGACTGTTATAATCCACAAGGCTAATTATGAAACCAGAGGGCACTAATTGGCTGGAAATTTACTTCCGGGGGCATTATTATTATTAATATTTTATTTAATCTATTTTTTAAAATTTTATTGGGTTTTAGGTGAAAGTTTACAGCACAAATTAGTTTTTCATTCAGAAAATTTTTTTGCTACTTTTTATTAAAATTGTGTAAATAAACACTGAGAAAAGAAGTTATTTGTGATGTGGGACTGGGAATCTGTGTGCCTTAGTTTTTTTTTTTTTAATAATTTATTTTTGTAGTTGTTGAGAATATACACAGAACATGCAGCAGTTCAATAGTTTCTACATGTACAATTCAGTGACATTGATTACATTTTTCAAGTTGTGCAACCATTCTCACCTTCCTTTTCTGAGTTGTTCCTCCCCATTAATATAAACTCACTGCCCCCTAAGTTTCCTATCTAATCTTTTGAGTTGCTATCGTTAATTTGATCCCATATAGATAGTTCTTAAAAGAGCATAAAGCTCAAGGCCAACATTCTTTAATAGTTAAGCTAAACTATTGTTTGGTTTTAGGAAGACTTCAGAGGATACTTTTGGTTTAAGGTTTAAAGATTATCTTAGGGCAATAGTTTTAGGAGTTCATCCAGCCATTATATAAGCTCCAGAAACTCTGGATTTCATGCGAATTTGAAAGTCTGTTCTACATTTTGCCCCTTTTGATCAGGATTCTTCTGTAGAATCTTTGATCAAAATGTTCACTAATAGTAACCGGGCACCATCTGGTTCTTCTGGTCTCATGGCAAAGGAAGCAGTTGTTCATGGAGGCAATTAGTCACACATTCCATATCCTCCTTCTATTCCTGACTCTCCTTTTTCCTCTGTTGCTCCAGGTGAATAGAAACCAATTGAGACCTTTTCATTCAAAAACTTTATACACAAATTGTTTTGTTATATTAGTTGCAATCCCTGCAATGTGTCAGCATTCTCCCCCTCTCCCTTTCTACCCTGGGTTCTCAGTGTCCATTCACCCAGTTTTCCTGACCCTTCTTGGCTTGTCATCTTTGCTTTTGGGCAGGTGTTGCTCATTTGGTCTTGTATACTTGATTGAACTAAGAATCATGTTCCTGATGTGTGTTATTTGTTTTATAGGGCCGTCTAATCTTTGCCTAAAAGGTGGACTTCGGGAGTGGCTTCAGTTCTGAGTTAGCAAGGTGTCCAGGGGCCATAGTCTTGGGAGTTCCTCCAGTCACTGTAAGACCAGTAAGTCTGGTCTTCTTTTGTGAATCTGAATTTTTTTCTACATTTTAATCTCCTTCTGCCTGAGACTCTTTATTGTGTCCCTGTCAGAGAGGTCGGTGGTGGTAACTGGGTACCATCTAGTTCTTCTGGGCTCAGGCTGGTGGAGGCTGTGGTTCATGTGGTCCATTAGTCCTTTGGACTAATGTTTTCCTTGTGCCTTTGGTTTTCTTCACTCTTTTGCTCTGAATGTGATGTGACCAATGGATGTATCTTAGAGGGCTGCTTGCAAGATTTTAGGAATCCAGATGCTACTCACTAAGGTAGGATGTAGAACATTCTTAAATTCTTTATGAACTGTTATGCCAATTGACCTCGATGTCCTCTGAGACCATGGTCCCCAGCCCTTAGCCCCAGTAACTCAGTCTCTCAAGGTGTTTGAACATGCCTAGGAAGCTTCTATGACTTTGCCTTGGTTAAGCTGTGCTGACTTCCCCTATATTGTGTATTGTCTTTCCCTTCACCAAAGTTAAAACTTGTCTACTATCTAGTTAGTAACTTCCCCTCCCTCCCCTCCCTCGTAATCATCAAAGATTGTTTTTTTCTATGTGCAAACCTTTTCTTGGGGTTTTATAATAGTGGTCTCATACAATATATGTCCATTTGTGATTCACTTATCTCACTCAGCATAACACCCTCCAGATTCATCCATGTTGTGAGATGTTTCACAGATTCATCATTGTGCTTTATCACTGAGTAGTATTCCATTGTGTGTATGTACCATAATTTGTTTATCCATTCATCTGTTGATGGGCACTTAGTTTGTTTCCATCTTTTTGCTATTGTGAATAATGCTGCAGTGAACATGAGTGTGCATATGTTTATTTGTGTGATGGCTCTTATTTCTCTAGGATGTATTTCTAGGAGTGAGATTGCTGGATGATATGGTATTTCTATTTCTAGCTTTTTAAGGAGGTGCCATATCATTTTTCATAGTAGTTGGACCATTTTACATTCCTAGCAACAATGCATAAGAGTTCCAGTCTCCCCACAACCTCTCCAACACTTGTTATTTTCTGTTTTTCTGGTTAGTGCCAGTAATGTTGGGGTGAGATGGTATCTCATTGTATCTCATTTTGATTTGCATTTCTCTAATGGCTAATGATTCCGAGTATTTCCTCATGTGTTCTGCTGGCAACCTGAATGTCTTCTTTTGGTGAAGCGCCTGTTCATATCCTTTGCCTATTTTTTTTAATTGGGTTATTTTGTTGTTGTTGTTGAGGTGTTGAAGTATTCCATAGATTTTAGAGATTAGACCCTTGTCAGATATGTCGTAGCCAATTTTTTTTCCCCAGTCTGTAGGTTCTCTTTCTTACTCTTTTGGTGAAGTCTTTTGATGAGCGTAAGTGTTTAATTTTTAGGGGCTCCTAGTTATCTATCTAGTTTATCTTCTGTGTTTGTGCATTGTTACTTATGGTTTCTATTGTATTTATGCCATGTATGAGGGACTCTAACATTGTCCCTATTTTCTTCTTCCATGATCTTTATTGTTTTTGGTTTTATATTTAAGTCTTTGATCCATTTTGAGTTAGTTTTTGTATATGATGTGAGGTATGGGTCCTGTTTGATTTTTTTCGCAGATAGACATCCAGTTTTGCCAGTACATTTGTTAAAAAGACACTCTTTTCCCCATTTAATGGATTTTATTCCTTTGTCAAAGATCAGCTGACCGTAGGTGGATGGATATACATCTGCGTTCTTGATTCTGTTCCACTGGTCTATGTGTCTGTCATTGTACCAGTACCAGGCTGTTTTGACTACTGTGGCTGTATAGTAGGTTCTGAGATCAGGTACTGTGAGGCCTTCTACTTTGTTCTTTTTCTTCAGTAATGTTTTGCTTATCTAGAGCTTCTTTCCTTTCCATCTAAAGTTGGTGATTAGTTTCTCCATCTCGTTAAAGAGTGCTGTTGATATTTGGATCGGGATTGCATTATATCTGTAGTTCATTTTGGGTAAGGTTGACATTTTCAGAATGTTGAGTCCTAGAGCATTATTTTTAAAGTAACTCAATATAATTCCTCTTTGACATGCAGAAGAACAATATTTAATTTTTCTTTTATCAAAAACATTCTACTGCTAACCGAAAGATTGGCAGTTTGAAACCACCAGCAGCTCCTCAGGAGAAAGATGTGGCAGTCTGCTTCTGTAAAGATTTACAGCTTTCCAAACTCTGTGGGGTCACTATGAGTCGGAATCAACTTGACAGCAGTGAGTTTATTTTTGGTTTTTTTCTATCAAAATATACCAAGTTGTTTTTCAAGATTTTAAGGTGGACTACTGCAAGATAACACAATTTAAAGGTAAATGAGAAAGAAGAAAGAAAAAATAGAAATTGAAACATAAAATGGAAGTGAGTCTAACATAAAAATAGATACCAGGAGTCCTATGTACTTGCTTCCCAATTCATAGTGTACATCAGATAAAAATCAATTGCAGGTTAAATATTAATAACATTTCAAAGATTGTCAGTCACATGATCAAACTGATTTTTGATTAAGAGACATTACCTCTATTTTGCAAGTGGGAAAATCATGATACTGCTGTTACCTGATTTGTTCTTGAATTAGTTGAGAGAGCTGGGAGTAGAATCCAAAGTTTGGTAGCTTCAAATCTCTGGCCATCTAGATGATTTCTCTTTTAATTTTAACTAAAAATGTTAGGATCCAAGGAGTAGATATAAGTGGGAGGTATGTAGGTGTGGGAGAAGCATGTCTGAGGGTATGTGTGTGCCCATGTGTGTCTGCTGCTGTTTGTGCACTGTACCACACTCACAACATACCTAGATTTCTACACGTTATTTCTCATCTCTTGAGCCCTTACAATGACTGTTATGGATTGAATTGTGTCCCCCAAAAATACGTGTCAACTTGGTTAGGCCACGATTCCCAGTATTGTGTGGCTGTCCTCCATTTTGTGATTGATGTAATTTTCCTACGTGTTATAAATCTTAATCTCTGCCTGTGGTTAATGAGGCCAAGATTAGATTATGTTAAAGAGGATTAGGGTGGGATGTAACACCCTTACCCAGGTCATATCCCTGATCCAATAAAGGGAGTTTCCCTGGGGTGTGGCCTGCACTACCTTTTATCTCTCAAGAGATAAAAGGAAAGGGAAGCGAGCAGAGAGTGGGGGACCTCATACCACCAAGAAACAAGAGCCAAGAGAAAAGCGCATCCTTTGGATCCGGGGTCCCTGTGCTGAGAAGCTCCTCAACCAGGGGAAGATTGATGACAAGGATCTTTCTCCAGAGCCGACAGAGAGAGAAAGCCTTCCCCAGGAGCTGATGCCCTGAATTCGGACTTCTAGCTTACTAGACTGTGAGAGAATAAACTTCTGTTTGTTAAAGCCATCCACTTGTGGTATTTCTGTTACAGCAACACTAGATGACTAAGACAATGACCAATCAGGAACCTCAGGTTTTTGTCCCAAGGTGCTGCTTCAGCAGGAGCCCACAGTCCCATTGCCTTACCTGGCCCCAGTCTCCAGTCACCCAGCGAGGAGGAGGGCAGCGGCCCAAACTGCAGCGGATACGGACAGGAGGTTTGCTTTCCTCTGGGCATTGTGCAGCTGGGAATGTTTTAGAAAGGTCACTGCTCTTGCACAGAACAATCCGATGCTTGAATCCTGGACCACATTTTGGAGTGCACTGGAAATAAAACAAATACTAATGAATAACGACAGTCTAAACACAGAGGAAAATTTGAGGAAAGTCTTTCTTGGAGTAAATGTGTATTTGAGTATAGTATATATATATATACATAAAATTCTAGGCAGTCTCTCAGATATGAAAATTCCTTAAGTTTTTTAAGCAGAAGTACTTTTATCTTTTCCCTAAGGTCTTTAAGAGCTAAACCCAATGTTTGCTTTTCTTGGCTAACTTATTTTCATCTTTTATTGGGGGTAGGTTTATTCGTCTGTTCCTCCCTATGCTTGGCCTTATTCAGCTGTGATAAGATGCTATTTTTTGGAAGGTCGAATCCTTGGTTTCCTATTTGCTGGGTGTGGTCTTCTGAAAAGAATTCTTATGTTATTCATAGACCACAAGAACTTGTCTCCGTGAAGGAAGCTAGGGGTTGATTTTGATGTGCATTCCTATAGTGTGGCAGCTAAGAATATATGGCCGTGGGTGAAGGCTTATTGCATAGAAGATCTCTGTTTATCAGTTAATCATAATGAATTTGACTGCTCTTTACAATTGGGACTGTCCTCCAGAATGAGGAAAGATGCTTCTTCTTATGTCACAAACCCAATTATTTGCCTCTTCTCCAGGCTAATTGGGGTGCTAGTGCTCTGTTTCTGGAAGTCAGGCTTCCTGTTTAACATCGTGGCTGACTGGAGCCTTTCAGCTTTCTCCTATGCATGTCTCCACTCCTCCTTTCCTTAAAATCTGTGTCTCCTCTGAGTCAAGTGAGGACTTTACCTACAACATTTTGAAGCACTGTATCTGTCCCTTACATTTAATAAACATTTCCAGATCTCCTACAGGAAATATGCTAGAAGACTAGCAGGGTATAAAAATAAATAAGATATGTGAACACATAGTTAATGTTAAGTATCATAAAAGAGGATGTAGAATATATAAACTCTTGTGTCACTAATCACCATCTATCTGTTTTCCAGTTATTTATATACATATCTTCTCCTCCCAGCCAGACTATAAACTTAAGATTACGGTCCATTTCTGATTCATCTTCATACCCCCTCTCAGTATCCAGCAGAGGGCTTTAAATAGGCACTCAATAAATATATGCTGTCCTTTAGCTGGGAAGATGATGGTCTCGATTCACCATCAGGTGGGGCTATCCCCAATATGTTTTTCTAGGAGGTGTACTATACATGGGATGGGGATGTCCAAGTGAACACTGTACACACTCGTGAATGGCTTTATCGGGGGCAGTCCTTGATCCAGGAACATGTGGTAGAGAACGAGAAAAACATTAACATTCCTTTAGGGGAACATCAAGGATCCCAGGCAAACTCTCCATTACAATGTATGTAATAACAATACACTTCTTTCAACTTAGAAGCATTTCAAAGAAGAATAACATACAGTTTTTTCTAATAAGGCTCCAGAAGAGGCTTTTGTCATGTACCTAAAGAGCAAGAAGGAAATTATTGATATATATAATTCCTTTTCATAGCCAAATTGACTACCTTACTTCTTGCTGCTGCCTCACTCTGCCTATGTAATCAATTACTAGGACCTATTAATCCAACTCCTAAATCTCTGTCATGTCTCTTGATTTCTCTCCAACTCCACTGCCATTAACCTTACTTCAGACAAACATCATTTCCCACATTAAGCAATGGGTTTCTAATAGGTCTCCCATTTCTTGCTCTTGCCTCACTCCAATCTAAGCTTCAGTCAGAGGGAAATTTCTAAAGCACAAATCTGATTATATCCCATCCTGATTTTGAAAAATCTTTCAATAGATCACTATTATCTTCAAGATAAAAACCCAAAATATGCTTATTAGATTGTAATAGTAAGGTTCTGCTTGTCTTTTCTTGTTTGTCTCTCTATATCCTAGCCATACTGAACAATTTTCAGTATTCCTTAGTGCTAGTTCATTGCCAGGCACAAAGCTAACGCTACTACTGCTGCTACTCACTACTACCACTATTACTACTACTACTAGCTAATTAACAAGGATTGTACCAAGTGCTATAATTTATTTAGTCCTTGCAAAAAATCCTGTGATATGGCAATTATTATCCTGCTTTTAAAATGAGAAAACAAACTTAGGGGAAGTGGTTGATAGAAAGTCACACAGCTATTAGATGGCAGAGTCATGCTAAGGCAAACTCTTGCTGAGCGTCTCCTGCATGTTAGGCACTATACTATGCCCTTTGCATAAATCATCGCATTTAATTCTTATAACAACCCTATTGCTTTATATTTGAAAAAAACCAAAACATGCAATAATTTCTGTAGAATGACTAAAGTCCTTATTCCAAGTCTCTTGAGCTTGCTTCACTTTTGTTTTTATTGTACTTTAGATGAAGGTTTACAGAACAAATAGTTTCTCATTAAACAGTTAGTACAGATATTGTTTTATGACATTGGTAAACAACCCTACGATATGTCAACACTCCCCCTTCTCGACCTTGGGTTCCCTCTTACCAGCTTTCCTGTCCCCTTGTCCCTGGGCTGTTGTGCCCCATTAGTCTCATTTTGTTTAATGGGCCTCTAGAATCCTTGGCTGAATGGTGAACCTTGGGAGTGACTTCATTACTGAGGTAGAAGGGTGTCCAGGGGCCATACTTTTGGGGTTTCTCCAGTCTCTGTCAGGCC